ACTGCTGGGCTGGCCTGGCGGGGGCCCCAAGTTGGATTTTCGAAAGGTTTGGTTTCGAGTTTAAGGTTTAGGGTTTAGGGTTTTGGTTTAGGGTTTAGGGTTTAGGGTTTAGGGTTTAGGGTTGGGAGCAGAGAAGGATGAGCCCAAGTTTCGATTTTCGCATCTTTCAGGTAGTTCTTCCGAAACGACACAGGGCTCTGCTGTCTAACACTACCAGCAGCTACGGTGAAAGGATCCTTAGTCCTGTATGCGTGTATTAACCCTAAACCCTCAACTCTCAGCCCGAAAATAAGGAAGTTTTCTCGGTATGCAGTCCTAGGGCGACACCTCATGCACACCATGCCAGTGCAGACTTAGCGCAGATTACCAGGACTTCGACACCCGGAACGCTGAAACCCTAAATTAGTAGGATCCTTAATCATCTCAAGGGTCCTAGTCTATGAAGCCCTCTAAAGTTGGTAGCTAGTAGGATCCTTATCATACGGACCGCTTAATAAGGTCATTAGGCACAACTCTGAGGACCCCCTTTGGTAGAACTTGAATAGAATTTGAGTGAAACTGCATACATATTTGGAGCGCCCTTGATGAGGCCTATAAACCGCTATACAACATTATGAACCCCGTATACTTGAACCCTTGAAGCCCGTGTACAAACCTAGCAAGCCCCTACATGGGCATGCTACTGTAAATTCATATGCATACATGCAGAACACCCGGTCAACTACAAAACGAAGCTCCAAATCAACGAACTAGCCTCCGACATGTCCGCCTCCGCGGTAGGCTGCTCTTGCCTGTCTCTACTTCCGTGGAGAGGAATGGAACATTGTAAGGGTTCTAAACTTGGTTACGCAAAGGCCACTGTAAGGTCCATGGCTAGCATTGAAGGCTTCAGGAAAATAAGCCTGCTGAAGGTTTCCAGAGCCATTAGCGTTTAGGGCTTTTGGCAGTGGGTAGTGTATCCGTCAATATACGTCATGCATGCTGGGACGTAATGCAATGGTTCTAATGCCAACACCACCACTTACAAAAACAGCAGCCGCCACCACAATGTCAGCACACAATATTTGCTGCATCTCGGCAGACGCAGCAGCAGCGGCAGCAGCAGCAGCAGCAGTGCTAGCAGCAGCAGCAGCAACCCTGAACCCCAAACCCTTAAACCAGATCTCCTTAAGGTTTAAGGTTTAGGGCCACCCTCTAACCCTATAAACGCCCCCTACAGAGATCTTAGCAAAACTAGAGGACATAAACTCTGAATGACAAAAACCCTCCACCGTCCACCCGGAACCACGCCCTTGATCTTCCCTGCTTTGGATTTAGGGTTTAGGGCCTAGGGTTTACGGATGTTTAGGGGTTATTCCCGGCTACTGTGCATAGGTCAGAGGCTCGAACCTACTGGTCATGGTTCCCGCTTCAGCATGTAGGGCTCAGTGTAACGGTCTAGGGTTTAGGGTATAGGCTTTAGGTTCAGGAATGTAGTGTTTTGTGGGATGGGATGTAGCGTTTAGATTTTGGGGTTTTGGCTTCCGCGTGAAACGTTGACAGGACGTCTCAGCAAGGCACCTCTCGCCATTTCCCTCCTCGTCGGCGCCCATTGCGCTCGTTGCTGGCTCTCGTTTTCAGCTTCACCTGCGCCCTAAACACCATACAGCTGTAGGGTTCTATGATTGCCTTAAACAGTTCCGTAAAGAGGTTGGTTTATTGGGCTACAGGTAGGGTTGAGGGTGGGGGGGGGGGTGTAGGTTTAGACTCTCAAGTGCAGGGCCCTCGTTTCTGAGCTTCCTGGCCCCCCAAAGGGATGACAGTTTGCATTATGGTTTAGGGTTTAGGGTTTCGGGTTTGCCGGTTTAGATATACCCACAAGCTTTTACAGGTAACCACGTCAACTATGCTGAAGGTATGGGGCTTCAATAAGGAGAAGAAAGTTTCGGGTTATTTCATAGTAAGTGCATGTAATAAGCCATAAGATGAAGCCCTCTGGAAGAATGATATTAGCAACTATTCAGGCTAAACCCTAAACCCTAAACCCTAAACCCTAAACCCTAAACCCTAAACCCTCTTCTTGAATAGGATTTGCCTAAAACCCTAGGCATGTGTTGAAGCTTGTGGGGAGAGGCTTGGCTTACTTGCTCCAACTCCCGGTGCTCTGAAATCCTGCGCGGCTGCGGCTTCGGCAACGACAGAGAGCGGAGGACCCTACCTTTACCCAGAGGCCCCATAGTAGTTCTTGTTTGGGGGTTCATATATAGAATCCTAGAAGGTAATCCCCAAAAAGGGAACTACTATGGGGCCTATGGGTATATAGTCTCCAACCAAAGTCCACGTACCCAAATAGTATGTACTTTGGCCTTAATGTAGTCCCTATATAGGTACTTTGGGCCCAAAGTATATACTATTTGGGTTCATGGACCCTTAGGGAAGGTCAGAGGTGAAGTTCCAATGCTCGAAGTTCCAATGCTCGAAGCCTACAGACCGGGAATGACGCACGAACTGAAGAGTCCGGCAGGGTTTAGGGTTGAGGGCTTAGGTTTTTTCGGGGGGGTTTAGGGCTTAGGGTTTAGGGTTTAGGGTTAAGGTTTAGGGTTTAGGGTTTAGGGCTTAGGGGGTTTAGGGTTTACGGTTTAGGGCTTAGGGGGTTTAGGGTTTAGGGCTTAGGGATTTAGGGCGTAGGGCTTAGGGGTTTAAGGGTTAGGGGTTTAGGGGTTTAGGGGTTTATGGGTTAGGGGTTTAGGGTTTCGGGGTTTAGGGTCTACGTAGGTACAGTGTCCGTTGTAGTTGTATGAGGTACCCCCAGAAAAGGAACTACAACGGAGACGATAGGTACCTTAGAATGGCAAAGGCCCTCAACACCACACCTTAACTCAGATTTCGGTTTCGAATTCAGCCCCCTGAACCCTAAAACCTAATGCGTTTAAGGGTTTAGGGCTCTAAACCCTAAACCCTAAACCCAAACCCTAAACCCTAAACCCTTATAGGGTTTAGAGACGTCTTCTCAAAGCGGCTGGAAATCTACTGCAGAGGTTGGCTTCCCTCCCGGGTCTCTGCAGTGTCCGGTTGGGGCTCGGGGTTTCGGTTAGCTATCCTATTGTTAGGGTTTAGGGTTTAGGGTTTAGGGTTCTGTCCCGCTCTAGTATTTCTGTACATTCTATTCGGCTCGACGACCCGATAGGATACTGCATTCTAGCATGCCTGAATTATGAGGATTTGGGGTTTGGGGTTTAGTGTTTTAGGCCATGAATTGCAAGGGTCAAGAAAACCCTAAACCCTGAACCGTGGCGTACACCATTTGAGGGCCCTTGTAGTATTTGGCCTGCATGCGGGCTCTCTTCATTCGGAAGTTGCCATGTGGACTTGTTTAGAATACAGGGCTTCAGGGGGCACGGGGTTTAGGGTTTGGGAATTAGTGGTTTGTGGTTTGTGGTTTAGGGTTTAGGGTTTAGGCTTTGGGGTTTAGGGGTTTAGGGTTCAGGCTTTGGGGTTCAGGGTTTAGGCTTTAGGGGTTTAGGGTTTAGGGTGACAGCGACTAGAACCCTAAACCCTAAACCCTCTTCGGCAAGGTTTCGCGTTGCGCGTGCTGTCGGTCTTCAGCGCGAGGGCATGGGCAAGCAGTTGATGCTACCCGGAAAAGCCAGAAGCCCGGGGAGGATTCAAAAAGTAGATCCCTTAAGGGTTCCTCTAAGGGTTCCTTTCAGGGCCCATAATAAGAGTCCCTTTAAGGGGAGCTCCCATAAGCGCACTTAGGGCTCCCAAAACGAAGGGATCTGCTTTTTTAGTTCCTCCCCAAAGCCTGGGAAGATGAGCGAGGAAGAGCTCCAGAGGTGATAGACCTGTCCTGCTGGCTCTTGGCAGGGAAGTGGATGGAAATACAGTTGACATATTTAGATAACAGATCATAACTTGTGAAGCAGATGTACTGAAAAATCCATCTATCAACACATAGGTTCGCCAGGAATCCCATGAAGGCAGCTGCAGAGATTTAAGGCCTCTAGTATTAAGTATGCAATTCCTTGGTGCCCTAAGAACCAGCAATTTGTACGGGGGGGGGGGGCGAGCGAAGCACCAAAGTGGATCGCTTCACTCGCGCCCGAAGGCTCGAAGGCTGCCTGCCCCCGCGTTTGAAGGGGTGGCAGGCTCGCTCGCTTGACATATCAGAGACTAGGCCGTCCAGTAACCCACTGAGAACAACGTACACGTTTCATCTAGTTTTATCATCACAGGAACCCAGACACAAAAACCTCAGAAAACTTCAACTATAGCACTGAACAGCCTAGAAAGCGTCACCCTAAGCCCTAAACCCTAAACCCTAAACCCACTCTCTCACGGGTGGACCGAAGGCGTGGGCTTTGCTTCCAGCGACTTCTGCTCGGGCGGGAGGGCTTGGCGGGTCGTCCTGCAGGCACAAGGGTTTAGGGTTTAGGGTTTAGGGTTTAGGGTTTATGGTTTAGGGTTTAGGGTTTAATATAGGGGCCTTGATAATTAGAATAGGGATCCTTTAAAGGGATCCTTCAAGGGTTTTTCAAGGGATCTATAATAGGGTTCTATAGTAGGGGCCTTAATTATTAGAACAGGGTTTTGGGGCCCATGATACTATACTTATAATAAGGTAACCCCCAAAATCATAATTAGAATAGGGTTTTGGGGCCCATGATACTATACTTCTAGTAAGGTACCCCCAAAATCATAACTAGAAGGGGTTTTGGGCTCATGATACTGTACTTAAAATAAGGTACCCCGAAAATAGTATTGGTAATTATTGAGGCCCCTATATTAATCGGGCGAGGATCCGTCTTCAGCGCCTCGCGATCCCTCCGTTCGAGGATTTCTTGGGACGGAGTGGTTTCGCACTGAGTTTTGGAGAGGAAAAGACGGCCTTAAACCCTGAACCTGAAGTCATAAGCCTTGAGCCCTGTAAGCAGGCTAAGTAGGGTTCGCAGATGATGTGCTTGGGTGAGTTGGTGCCCTATAAAACCTAAACCCTAAAGCCCCTCAGCCTATGCCCTTGAGCCCTAACCCTAAGCCTACTCAATCCATCCTGCAGAAATGCACTACAACTTCGGGATTGTTTGCGCAACAAACCCTCAACCCATACGGCAGAAACTCTGGCACCCTTGGTCGAAACCTTCATGGACGCCTTTCCAAGAAGCCCGACCTTGGGCGCAAGCACATCGATGGAGTCGCGCTCCATCCACCACATCAGCCACGCAAAGCCGATTGAGACAACCAGAAAAACCACAGCGCCACTGAGGCTCCCCTGATAGGCCTTCGGATTCTTGGCTAGTAAGGTTGAAGGCGTGGAGTATGGGTTTTAGGGCTTTCGTTTGTCGAGTTGGGCCTTCGCGCTTTGACGGGTTCTTGTACTTCTGCTGCTGCAGCTACTGCTACTACTACTACGACGACGACGACGACGCCTACTACTACTACTACTACTACTACTGCTACTACTACTACTACTACTACTACTAGTACTACGACGACGGCTACTAAGCCACTACAGCCTACAACAACTACTTTGGCGACGGCTGCAGCAGCGTCAAGAGCAACGCATCAAGCAAGAAAACAGTTGAGAGCAGGAACCATATCGAAAATTAGATACAGCTACAGCACCATGTTGCACGCCACTGCTCGGGAACTGAATTCACCAAGAAGCGCTCTGCAACAGCACTGGGCTCAACCGAGCCTAGCGCTTCACTGTATCCAACAAGCATTGCACCAGCCCCGGCGAAAAGACCCTCAATCCAACAATGCTAAAGCAATAAGAATAATCATAGGCAGGCAAACCATAAACCCTAAACCATCAATTGCTTCAGACCCGGCCACTCCCCTAAAAGCCGTTCAATATGAGCCTTCGAAAACAAAGACAACTTCCCAGAAGCCTTATAAGAACCCTCATAATGGAAGCATCATAAGAAACCGTCCAAACCCAAATAAAATCATAGACGCCTCGCAAAACAGGGTTAACTGAACGTATTGCTTCAGGTGCTCTCCCAACATCCGTGAACCGTATGTTTCCTAGACCCTAAATTAAAGTCTCTGCCTGCGCGGAAAGCTGATTCCCGAGACTGAGAAGTCCCACCACGAGGAAGATCGCGAAAAGGGTCTGCAGGTGATCCTGCTTTGAATCATTACAGGTGTCTTCATCATTGGAACAATTTTTTTTGCAAGGAGGCCGTGAGGTATACGGGATGCTTAACTTTAACTAATGTTACCCTAACCCCCCAGGTGCCTACTATATGGGAGTTTCTGAAAACAAGGGGTACCTTATTTTGGTGTCCTTATGATAAGGATCCTACTATTTAATGCGTGAGGGTTTGGTATTGATGATATGTTGTAGATGCTCACCTCACCGAGCGTGTTGTTGATATAGTTGTGGTATTGCCAATGCAGAACTCACACGCGCAATTGTACACAATGTAGAGCGGCGCACCCTTCCTTTTCTCACTCGCCTTGGCTGACGTTGAGTCTTTGCAG